CGAGGAGGAGAACGAGGAGAAGGAGGAGGAGGAGGAGGACGAGAGGGAGGGGAAGGAGGAGGTTGGGGAGGAGGAGGAGGAGGAGGAGGAGGAGGAGGAGGAAGAAGGAGGAGGAGGAGGAGGAGGGGATGAAGACATGAAACAACATATCAAGTAGACCGGGCGTGGGAGGACAGCAGCTCGGGCGTGGGAGGACAGAAGCGTTGCGGGCTTCCAGGGTTCGCGCGAGTCTGAAGCCAACCTTGAACCTCTTCACCAAAGGGGCGAGCACGCATGGAGATCGACTTTTCTGCCCCGTCAGCAAAGGAGCAGTGAGGACGTTAAGATTTGCTTGTCCCTTGGGCCCGCCGGGGGGGGGTCCCGTTGCCATGGCTGAATCCGCCTCGAAATCCTGATCCGAGCTTTCTCCAGAAGAGATCTGGGGAGTCAGCTCTGAGGGAGGAGGATTAGGAGGAGGAGGAGGGAGAAGAAGAAGAATTCGCCGGCCCCCTCCAGGGGCGCAAGGCTGCGCAGGTGTGTGCGGTCTGCTGTCATGCTATATGTTTTGTCATTTGTTGTTTGGTCTTTTGTCTCTCCAGTCCTGTTTCCTGCCTCCCGCTTACTGTCTGTAGGGGGCCCCGCCGCGCCACCAAACAGCCAACGGTGGGGGGTGAACCTCAAATCCTGGTTGCTCCGGGCCACCCCAGGATTCTCATGCTGACGCCACTGCGCGGCCAGAACGGCCCGAGAGGCCTCCAAGATTGCCCGAAGAGGCTCCGAAGAGAGCCTCAGGAGGCGGCCCAATATGGCCCCAAGATGTCCCACGATGGGCCCAAGACGGCCCAAGATGCTCCCAAGACGGCCCAAGAGGCCTCCAAGAGGCCTCCCAAGAGGGCCCCACGAAGCAACAATTCACGAGTTTCCTCGCGTTTTTTTTGTTAAGGTTTTGGCCTTCTCGCCTTTTCGGCTTTCCGACGCTCCGAGACGGACCAAGAGGTTCCCAAGATCGCCCCCCGACGGCCCTAGAAGCTCCCATGACGGCCCAAGAGGCCCCCAAGACTGCCCCAAGACGGCCGAAGAGGGCCCCAAGACGGTCCAAGAGGCGCTCCAGACGGCCCAGAAGGGCCCTAAGACGGTCCCAAGAGAGGCTCAAGAGGGAGTCTACGAACCGAAAACTCGACCTTTCCGCTCCGAGAGGGCCCAAGGAGGCCCCAAGAAGGTCCCAAGAGGCCCCAGGAGGCCCCCAAGAGGCCCCCAAGAGGACCCAAGGAGACCCCCAAGAGACTCAAAATATCGTTTCCAAGAGGCCCCAAGAAGATCCCCGAGAGGCCCCAAGGAGACCCCCCAGAGGCCCCCAAGAGGCCCCAAGGATCCCCAAGGGGCCCCAAGGAGACCCCTGCGCAGCCGCCCGCACTAGTAATAGGGAGCCGGCGGCAGAGGGCGAAGCCCTTAAGATAAGAAAAATAAGATGAAGAAGATGGGGAGGGGGACAAGGGGAGTAGAGGGAGTGGAGGAGGGGGATGATGGCGAGGAGAGGGGATAATGATGGTCTGGAGATGGTGGCGGCGTTGGAACATGCGCGACAGGAGCTGACCGACAACTTAAATCAG